TTGTTAATGTGATTTGATGGAGGAGATGATGAAAGCCAGTGATGTCTGCTTTCTGAAGGTCTGATTTCAGATCATTGATTGATTGATTGATTGATTGAGTTGTTGATGATCAATGGTGTGTTTGTTCTGCAGGAGTTTCCAGACTCAATGGAAAGGTGAGTGATCTGCTGCTGCCTCTGCTCTCTCTGCTTCTGATCCAAAGCCACTGCAGTTCTGATCCTGAATGTTCTTCCAGAGTCCAGATCTCATCACAGCCGGGTCCACAGATGTCTTCTGGAGCTTTGATTGATGTGCCGTGTTACTTGGGCAACCTGCCCTTCAGAGTCTGGAAGAAGATGCAGGACATCGTCCAGAACAGTGAGTATGGAGAAGATCTGAGCTCTTACACACACACTGGAAATGATGCATGGGGGAAGATCTACAGATTTTAGCATTATGTGTGAATAATGAGCAACTACACCAAAGTGAACCATTAACAAGAGAAGAACATGATATTTACAGTTACAGTGATCAGATAGTTTGATCAATAGCACAAGTGTCCTAATTCATAATATTATGTGTTCAGTTCACTCTTGATCATTATATGAACATCAGAATAAAAGCAGCTGTTGATTGTGTCTCATCAGCTCCTGTGATTCTGGATCCAAACACTGCTCATCCACGTCTCCTCCTGTCTGATGATCTGACCAGTGTGAAATGGAGCGAGAGCAAACAACCAGTTCCTGATAATCCAGAGAGATTTGATGATTATTACTGTGTTCTGGGTTCAGAGGGTTTTAACTCAGGAATATATTGCTGGGATGTGGGGGTTAAAGAGAGTCAGTACTGGAGTGTTGGAGTAACTACAGCATCAAACCAAAGGAAGGGGTGTGATTTCTATAACACTGATGTCTGGAGTGTGCAGTATGATCAGTATGGACTTTATGAACGGTCTGGTTTGTGTGTGTGTCACAATCATTATCTGTAGTCTTAAAAGTATATATATATATATATATATATATATATGCAGAGTTTGTTTCCAAAACGCGATAAACGCCTTTTTTATATATATATTTAGTTTCCGCCAAAATCAGTATTGTATCTGGTCCGTATTGAAAAGTCCATTTTTAATTTTACGCAAAATGCGATATCCGCCGAGTTATTCTGTCATGTTTTCTCCCTTTTTTTCCAAACCGCAACAAATGCCAGTCTCCCTTCCCTGCAGAATGCGATTTATTTGCTCAACCAATCACAGCCGCACCATTCCACGCACTCGGGAAAAAAAATAATACAATTTTATAATAAATCTTTGAAAATCAAAATCTGGATTTGAATTTTCAATGTTATTATTACCTAAAGATGCTATGTAAAAGTTTGAAACAGAAAATAGTGGTTTTCATCTTGCCACTTTCTTGGTAAAGAAAACATCTCAGGTTACTTATGTAACCATGGCTCCCTAAGTAAGGAATTAGACACTGCGTCCTCTACGGGTCGCTATGGGGAACGCCTAGTCGTGACCCGTGTCTGAAGCATACATTCAAAAACACCCAGTTTCTGAATCCAGCAGAGGGGGGTGCTCACCGAGGACCTACCCTAGAAAAGGACCGAAACACACAGGTCCCGGAAACACTGCAAAGAAAGCTCGCAGATGGATTATATCACACAACCACCAGCGCATTAAATACATATATATATATATATATAAGGGAAGATAAGGGCAGATGTAAACCCCCCCCAAAGGAAATGAGTAGATACTCAAGTATCACTCTGATACATAAAGCGCTGACGCCTCGTCTGGATCACATCCCTTAGGTCTTGCCTACATCCCTTTGACCCGCGATTCCTCCTTCCCCTACCCGCGGGCGGAGGAGGAGCACATGCAGATTGCCCCCTCGAGGACATCGCTGGCGTGCTCTTTGCCCAAACAACAGACGCAGAGATCGTGTGTGTCATCAGGTGTCAAATAACGACGACACGGATACACACATCCCCTAAACGCCTTGCTAGTGCTCGCCATAATGTAAGGAATAAAGATCGCTCTTACCACGGAAATGCACGCTTCAAACAAAACAGTCAGTGAAGACGAAGAAGAGGATGACGTGTTCTCCCGGTGCCTATTTATACTATAGTCGCACCGGTAGTGACGTCATGGGCTGTCGCCGGCCAACGTGTTGTTGGTGTTTTTGAATGTATGCTTCAGACACGGGTCACGACGTGGCGTTCCCCATAGCGACCCCTAGAGGACGCAGTTCGAAGTTCCCTTGAAAGGGAACACAGTTTTACTCAAATTAATCAAAATGGATTTATAGCATTTTGTAACCAAACTGTGATGATCTCTTGAATTTATTTTAACAGATGTGTGATTATGTGATATCAGTGCTATTTTCTGAATAAAAGGTTAAAGGGGGTGTCTAATGCTATTTCATGTTTTCTAGGTTAGAGTTATTTAAACTAAAATTAAATAACTGTTGTTACGTCTATGAGGTAATGCTGTTATGCTTGGGCTCTGTTGGTGTTTCTGTTGTTTTCTATTTCTTCTTCAGGATTGGTTGTGGATGTAATGCAAGGCTGTTGCTGATTGGACCAGAGAAGAGGCCTGGACTATTAATTCTTCTGGAAGTCCTCTGGAGGGAGCCCTCTGCCTCTCTGCTTGTTCTTGATTGACTGTTGTAGTACTGTGTTAGATGGTGGAAATGAAGTGTGACCGAGTATCATTTCTGTAGCACCTTTTCTTTGGGGTTTAATAGAGTGCTGTTATCCTTTGGATACCCTGTGACCTTTTATGTTAATAACATCAATGTCCTGTTGATTCTATCTGTATCTTCTTAATTTGTGAAGCTGTAAGGGGTGAGTGCCTTTTTTTCTTATGTTGGCCAAGAGGCCAGCACCTTTTCTCTTGTTTGTGGATAGGCAAGGAGATAGAGTATGTTATTGTGTGTTTTGTTTGCTTTTTATTTTTAATTGTGGGAAGGTAGCTCTTTGTGTGAAAGTTAGCCTGTTTGTTTGTTGTTTTGGCATTAGCTCACCCCTGGAGGTTTTGCTTCCATTATTTCTTGATTTTATTTTCTCCTGCTTTCTTTGTTATCTCTTTCAAGATATTCTTTGTAAACAGAAGAACAATGCTACAAAAAACAAACAAGGGAACGATAATTTATTTTGTTTTTCTTCTCTTTAGGGCAGCAGTAGCTCTAGGGGCATCCATATCAAAAAGTTGCAGGTCAGCCCACAATACAGCAAACATTTGAGAAACAAACAAAAAAAAAATCTACTGTTCCAAATATTCTGTATGTTGCTTAAAAATAAAATATATATGTATATATAAGTTGTTCTTTTTACCCAGACATTTTAGAGCTGTAACCGCAACACCGTGATTCCATGATATTTTTGCTTAAGGTTATCATAACGTCAAAATCTCATACCGGCCCATGCCTAGTTCACACAGTGCGAGTTTTCCGAAAATGCAGTCCTGAAAACGGGTGTTCGTTTGGTTATACAATGCAGTTGTCACTTCTGTAAATAACAGTGTGTGAACGTAACCGTATTAAGAACTCAAATACAGGACTGACAGCTGTATTCTGCTGCTGTGTGAACGTGCTCTGTGTGTCAATCATCAGCGTTTCGGGAGTGAGTCATGTTCCAAACAGAATGAGAGGATTCACTCCTGCAATTAAATGCGGTTGTCATTCGTGAAACTGTGCAGTGTGTACCTGGGCTTTGTTGTATTTTGTTTTCATGTGTGAATTTGAATTAAGTGGACAGTTCTAATATTCTCTAATTCTGTCATAATTTTTTTAAAGTACACATAAGCGTCTTCACACAGACTTGAAGCACCAGAGCGTCCAAACCTTTATTTTGTTTTCTAACAATTATGACAGACAATCATTCATATATAAAAAAAAAAATAACAATCTTGAGCTCAGATTCAAAACAGCAGCAAAGGGTCAAAGTACAAGACACAATCAGTAAGATAATAAAAATGCAGAAACTTTACCCTCTCAAAACACTTACCAGGAAATGACTGTCTCATTATTCCACTGCTTTCTGTCTTATCTGGATATATGGACAAAATCAAAAACGAAATAAGATCAAGAAGGATTCTTGAGAAGCTTGTTTTTGAATAGACAACAGATCTTTGTAATTCCTGTGGTTATTGATGGATTATTTGTAAAGAGTGAAAATGGATTCACCTTCTGTAGAAGAACTTTCTTGTCCCGTGTGTATTGAAATCTTCAAGGCTCCTGTTGTTTTATCATGTAGTCACAGTGTCTGTAAAGAGTGTCTTCAACAGTTCTGGAAAATCAAGGAAACTCAGGAGTGTCCTGTCTGCAGGAGAAGATGTTCAAATGATGCACCTCCATGTAATCTTGGCTTAAAAAACTTGTGTGAGTCGCTCCTAAAGGAGAGAAAAGAGAGGCATTCATCAGAGTCTGAGGAGCTCTGCAGTTTACACAGTGAGAAACTCAAACTCTTCTGTCTGGAGGACAAACAGCCGGTGTGTTTAGTGTGCAGAGATTCACAGAAACACGTCAATCACACATTCAGACCCATCGGTGAAGTTGTTCCAACTTATAAGGTAAGACAAATATCTCTTTTTTCATATGTAAAGAACATGTTAAAAACGCAATGCCAGTGCCGAGCCAGGTTTGGCCCAAACTTCTGGGAAGGTTAATTAGTTAAGGGTGTTTATAACAGAACCTATGCATACAATTCATATTTTATAGTATTCATTATTTTTTAATTACATTTATTCAATCATAGTTTCATTAAATATTTTCAACTGGTTTGTGAAAGATGTCATCAGCTTCAGAGCTTGTAACACTCCAAAGAGAAAGGAACAATTGAAATCGCATCATATGATCCCTTTAAAACCGAGGTCCTGTGGTGGCACTTCTTGTAAAAAGAGTGGGGCTGTATGATTGCAAAGTGCTTTGGGTGTACAGTAGTACATAAGAAAAGCATTAAATGCTTCATTCATTCTCTAACCATAATTTACAACAATAGTAAAGCCATCAAACAACAGGATGATAAATTCGGTGTGTCCAAACGTTTGACTGGTGCCATAGATGATGTGAGATGTTGACTCAGAAGATTGAAGTGGATGTGGTTTGATTTCAGTCTCAAGCTGATCACACAGAGCATCAGATTAAGAAGGAGTTTAAGAAGCTTCGACAGATTCTCAGAGATGAAGAAAAAGCTACAATCACTGCACTGAGGGAGGAAGAGGAGCAGAAGAATAAGATGATGAAGGAGAAGCTGGAGGAGATCAACAGACACATCTCAGCTCTTTCATACACAATCAAAGACACGGAGGAGATGATGAAAGCCAGTGACGTCTGCTTTCTGAAGGTCTGATTTCAGATCATTGATTGATTGATTGATTGATTGAGTTGTTGATGATCAATGGTGTGTTTGTTCTGCAGGAGTTTCCAGTCTCAATGGAAAGGTGAGTGATCTGCTGCTGTCTCTGCTCTCTCTGCTTCTGATCCAAAGCCACTGCAGTTCTGATCCTGAATGTTCTTCCAGAGTCCAGATCTCATCACAGCCGGGTCCACAGATGTCTTCTGGAGCTTTGATTGATGTGCCGCGTTACTTGGGCAACCTGCCCTTCAGAGTCTGGAAGAAGATGCAGGACATCGTCCAGAACAGTGAGTATGGAGAAGATCTGAGCTCTTACACACACACTGGAAATGATGCATGGGGGAAGATTTACAGATTAAAATATGTCTGATGTGTTTTGTCCTTTGGTCCAGTCTCATAATTCATAATAATCTGTGTATGGTCATCAGAATTAAAGCAGCTGTTGATTTTTTTCTGCTCAGCTCCTGTGATTCTGGATCCAAACACAGCACAGCCACATCTCGTCCTGTCTGATGATCTGACCAGTCTGAGATGGAGCAACATCAGGCAACCTCTTCCTGATAATCCAGAGAGATTTGACATCTATCCCTGTGTCCTGGGTTCAGAGGGTTTTAACTCAGGAACACACTGCTGGGATGTGGAGGTTAAAGAGAGTTCATCCTGGGGTCTTGGAATAACGACAGTATCAAACCAAAGGAAGGGAGGTGATTTCTTTAACACTGATATCTGGAGTGTGCAGTACAAAATGTTTGAAGACTTTGGCTTTCCAGTTAAACCGGTACTTCAGAGGGTGAGAGTTGATCTGGACTATGACAGAGGAACGGTGTCATTCTCTGATCCTGTAACTAACACACATCTACACACATTCACAACCACCTTCACCAAAACAGTCTTTCCGTTCTTTCATAGCATTTACCCTCTGAAGATCTTACCATTAAATTATTCTAGGTCTAATACAAACTACAACCAAAGTAAATTATAGCATGAACCAGGGGCGGTGCTAGGGGTGAGTTAAGGAGGCTGAAGCCCCAAATGTTTTCAGTAATGCCCTGAATGTTTTTATTACCATGTCTTGTGCGCATCAAGATTGAGTTTTCATGTGCATTAAAATCATTTCTATTAAACCAGCACTTAAACAGCACAATGCAGCTGCTTCAGGTATACTTACTGTAGCCTATAAATTCATAATACCGATCTCACCATCTGTTAAAATTAGATTATTGTTACTGTACTGTACATAAATGGTAAACTGAAGCAGGATGCCTTATCACACAGCCACTAAGTAAGGAAGTAAGGGAAAAACACAATGCAGCCAGCTGAGACTATGGTCCACTAGGCTAGAGAAAGTGATGGACTTCACATTGAGGAGAAGACGCACAAGGCTGGAGGAGAAACCGACAGCTGCAGCTTGGACTTGATAAGTACAGGGTGTCTGATGTTTGTTTTGGAGATGATGATGTTCATGTACTATACATGTCTGCCAAACCTGGGAACCTTTATGACATTATTACTGTATATTTTCTTTATTGTCTTCTTGTAATAAACACCTCAACAGCCAAATGAGGTATGCAAACCAAATGTTGTACACATGGGGTAAGTGAATCATATTTTTTTTTTTTTTTTTATGAATTCACAGGTATAAGCACTTATACCCAAATAGTGAGTTGTGTGAGCATGAATGAGTGCACACTCAATGTAATGTCTGTTTCATTCATACTGGTAGTCAGAGAGCAGAAACTCCACATGTGAGACTCACAAAAGTAACAGAACTGAAGACACTCCAGGAAATCCATAATATGGACAAAGACATCCAGCTAACGCTGTAGCTGAATATAATGCTGATAGAGACGTTTTACCTGATGAAACGTCAATACAATAAACATACGATTGTGACAATATATGGTTTATCTGTGTTCTTCAAGCCATCTCAGGTATAAAAAAAATAAAGTATATTTATAATGCAGTGTTAATCGACTTTTATCACTGTATAGAATACTATAAAAGCATGATTTTTGCCTCATTCTGTGATATGAAACCATGTCAGATCACAAAAGGAAGTTATTTCAAACACTCGACTTATGTTATTAAGTGAATCTGGACTAAATACATGTTATTAAATGTTCTGTTGGAGAACATATATATATATAAACAGGCTCACACATGCAGAACTATCGCACGTATACTAATGTGGTAAATTAATTAATCGAACAGACCGATTTTTTCTTCATATTTCGCCCTGTACAGCCCTGTGAATGTCTAATTTCTCTGTCATGTCGACATTGGCAAAGTTTCACCCATAATTTTAGCCATCCTTCTTGCTAGTAGTAGCTTCATAGACTAACCTACATCTGAGGTGTGTGATAGCCAGGAAACAGTGGGGGGTTGTGTTTTCTGTATTACATTAGGTTGAAAAAGACACACAATGAACTAAAGTAGCCTGGTTTGAAAATGTAAGAAATAGAAAGTGCAGATATTTGTGTAAAAAAAAAAAAAAAATGTTAAGGAGTGAGAGTAAAAAGTTGCCAGAAAAATAAATAGTGAAGTAAAGTACTGATACCAGAAAAAAATCTTCTTAAGAAGGATAGTAATGAAGTATTTGTACTTTGTTACTTCCCATCTCTGCTCGTGCCTGCTAACATTAATTTATTTGACACCGTAGGATAACTTCGTGCTTTTCTTATCTGCTGGCGTGGGCTGCCTACTGTTCCCAGGTATGTGCATTACACATTTACGTGGTAAGAACTGGTGTATTCATAGTTTTCACAAGACATCACACCCTTACAGGAACGCTCACATGGAGGGCAAAACAAGGCTTTCCTCCACCGACCGCCAGTTATTTTTATGAGGTTTGCATTAAGTAGTAATTTAGTAAGACGGTGATATTTAAAGGCCAAATTCAGTATACACTTTATTGATGATGCATATTGTACAGGCAAGCAGATGAACCCAGGATATAAACGCAATGTGAAAAGTTTAAAGGGGTCGGCGCAATAAAAATAACGACATAGCTGGTCTCATGGTGCCTTCGCATGCTATCACATTATGAGCTCAACAAATTCAAGCGGTCGACTTTACATTGCTTCCATATGCAATTTTTAACTACCACATTCTTATTTACGATCATTCTGGTAGCACGTAAAGGCAGCATCAGTGAAAACAAGCAGAGACAATGGTAGCTTTAGCAACATTAGCCTTACAGAGAGCCAAGAAGCTCTTTTGAAAAACAAAATATGACGCGTGATGCTAAAACAAGATGTTCATTTTTTCTCCGCCATCTTGATTGATGCTTATAATGAAATTGTGGTGTGCGTCATGGCAGGCGTGGCGTACTGATGTGTTCACTGCGCAGACTCATTGGCATGATTGAGAGCAAACGTGAGAGGTCACGGGCCTACGGCAGGGTGTGGCCAAGTAAAAAATAAAAAATCTCCAAAAAATCGCTAGTTTTATTTAAATATAGCTAAAATAGCTCCTTGTCGCAAAAAATGAAAAAAAGTCGCAGCTACAATGAGAAAGTAGCTAAATTTGGCGACAAAATCCCCAAATTGGCAACACTGATAGGGCAGAGATCGTCACAAATGGGCGGGACTTTCCCTAGTATGACGTTATTATAGGTAGAAATCTGAAACCGCTCGTTTGGAGAGACTGTTTATGATTTATTGGGATTATTAAAAAATGAGCAGGTGGATTTTTACCATTATAGGCTGGTTGTTTTCACACACTGGGGCCACACAACTGTGTTCAAACACCTTATAAAAGTGCATAATAGGTCACCTTTAAACTGCACAAAAACATCATATTATCCAGCATCCAATGATGGTTTATTTTAGGGATGTCCCAACCAGTTTTTTGCGCCCCTGATCTGATCCGAGTCATTGAATATTGAGTATCTGCCGATACCGAGTCCCGATCCGATACTTGTGTGAAAATATGAGGTATTGTCCAGTTTAAAACCACCACAGAAGTTTATCTGAGGTAAAGACCACACTCGGAAACTAAACAACTAACAGAGTTTTGGAGTTCTGCCTTAAATGTGGCTGTGCAATTTAATTAATTGTAATTTAATTACAAAATAAATGTAACTGTAATCTGTTACAAAGAGGGTTACATCTGAGTATTTTCACACACCCACATACAGATTTAATTGAATTATTTCCCAAATTGCAGTGACTGCTCTAAAATATGAGACTCCAATGTTTCAGGAGTTGAGGACACATGCATATTTGATAACTGTTTTATTTCCTATTTAGGTTTATGTATATTCTTTATTTTTTTTAAGATTAGCTGTTTTTCCAAGGCATTGTTTCCTGTCATAGCTATGACCATTTTTGGTTTTCATTTTACTTGGTTATACCATAGCGGTCATCTTTGTGTCATGACGCACAGTACATTTTGGTTATATAGGTGTTTACAGAATCCTGTATTAGGGATGTCCCAATGAGTTTTTGTGCCCCTGATCTGATCCGAGTCATTGAATATTGAGTATCTGCCGATACCGAGTCCCGATCCGATACTTGTGTGAAAATATGAGGTATTGTCCAGTTTAAAACCACCACAGAAGTTTATCTGAGGTAAAGACCACACTCGGAAACTAAACAGCTAACAGAGTTTTGGAGTTCTGCCTTAAATGTGGCTGTGCAATTTAATTAATTGTAATTTAATTACAAAATAAATGTAACTGTAATCTGTTACAAAGAGGGTTACATCTGAGTATTTTCACACACCCACATACAGATTTAATTGAATTATTTCCCAAATTGCAGTGACTGCTCTAAAATATGAGACTCCAATGTTTCAGGAGTTGAGGACACATGCATATTTGATAACTGTTTTATTTCCTATTTAGGTTTATGTATATTCTTTATTTTTTTTAAGATTAGCTGTTTTTCCAAGGCATTGTTTCCTGTCATAGCTATGCAAAGATTTGATTTCAAAAACAGTATCATAGCAATTAAACTATATATTATGATTTTAAACCTGTATTTAAAAAGTAAAAAGAGGTGCTGAAGTCTGATTTTGTGGTGGCTGTGCTTTAAAATTGAATTATAATATATATTTAATATATATTAAATATTTATTTAAATTATAATAATTAATTCAGGTGATGAAGGATTTTGAAGTGATCAGTGTTGAGTGCGACTGTAAGGTTAGCCCCAAATCATTCTTTGCAGCTATTACATTAATGAACATATTAAAGAAATCTCTGGTTTCTTATGTTCACTTTAAATTCCAGGAGGAGCTCAATACAGCACTGAAGTCTTTGCAAGAGAAACTTAAACACAAAGAA